TTAATCTATTAGTTGATTAAGATTTACAAGAATTTTTTGGAAAAATTTACGGGAACTAATTAATATTAATCGATAAACAAATTTGACTGCTAAGTGCATTCGTTGATGTACAGATGACAGTATACATGACGACCGCAATCAGAGCTTGACTCTAATATAGTTGTTTGCTCTTCTAAAAACCTCATAAATCAGCCTGTTTTTCTGATCCAAGTGATCTTGCTAGGTGAAATATTACTGATTTAGCAAATAGTGTAGACTAAGCCCTTGCATTCTTTGGGATATATTTCTGCTGAAAAAATATGTCGCAGAATCCTGAACGGAAAGTTTAATAGAAAAAAAATTCTGCGTAGTTTGCAAAAAAATNAAATTTCGCCGTGAATTAATGGTTCCCGCCGAAAAATTGAAATTCGGAACGAAAAAATATTTTCCCGCAGGAACTTGTGGAATCACGCTCATTTTTTTTCACAGTGTTCTGCTAAAAAAATATGTGGCAGAATCCTGCATGAAAATTTCCACAGAAAAACAAACTTTTCTACAGAAAAATAAGTTTGCATACGTTCAGAAAAAACATTTCGTCGTGAATCAGCATTTTCCCGCCGAAAACTGAAAATTTCCTGCAGAAAAATTGAAATTCGGAACGAAAAAATATTTTCCCGCAGGAACTGACGGAATCACGCTCATTTTTTTCCACTGGGTAGCTTTGAGCTAACAATGAACATTTAGGGCTTTTATTGTAAATTCTTTAACTTTGCAAAGAAAGGTCATGCATGGAAGAGTGTCACAGAACGCGTGAAGGTAGGCTTCTAAATATGAGAAAGTTTTCTATCTTCAACAGGAAGAAAAACTATTTGCTGTACACAAAGTCAGTGGACTCGGATATTTTGGAAAAACTCAAAGATGGTAAAAGGTAGAGATTTGCCGTTTTCGGCACTCGAAAGAGGGCAGTTTAACCTATATTTTCAAAAGCAGAAACACTTTCTAAACTCGGTTGTTCAGAGGATCTGTGGTCAAAAGGTCAAAAACTTTACATAGCAACCGATCAATTTTTTTCTAGAGCCTGATTTCTAATATCCGGCCTAGATTTGTGGTTAGAAAAATATCTTTATGCAAGTTCATGCGACTTTTACGAATTTTGGACTTTTGACGCTGACGAGTAAAATATCAAAAATCTGGCTCTATTAGCCTCTAGCCACCACATTCACATGTGTTTTTGTCAACTTAAGAGCATCCCGAGCTCTGCACAACTTTTCGCTACTGAGAAATCTTGCAGCAACGAATAGCCTCATGTTAGTCACGGTTGTGGCGACATCTCACAAACCATATGCTAGACAGAGCGAAACAAAAAATTTTGTCACCATACTTTCACAAGGCCAGCAACTGCTAAAAGTTTGGTGAAGATCTGACTTATACTTTCCATCCGTATTTTTAAGACGTTAAAATTAGAAATTATCCAAACTCGTTAAAAACCTTTTTAGTTAATTTAATTTTAACGCACGAAATGCCTTGAAAGAATTTAATATGTGACAAAAATGCATTTTTTCACTAGTCTAACGCGTTGAACTATGCATTTTAATTCGTTTTAACGCATCATGATTTTTAATAGATTCGAACTTTTTCACTCGCTTGTACTATACAACATTTCACCCATCTAAATGCGTTAGCAACTTTTTAGGGAAATTTTGGTATAAAAGAAACTCACTGGGATAGGCACTTCTACCGATTATGAAAACTAAAGAAAATTGCACGATTACCTACCATTCTCTTATTCAGCTTACTAATACAGGAATCTTGAGCAGATTTTTGAAAGTTGATCTTTGGAAAAGCAGAAAAATATAAATATAAATTATTTTTGAGATTGTGAATCTGCAAAACATGTTATGTATTTGCTTAACAAAACTCTCATTCTGTTAAGATGCATTCTATGTCAGAATATTTATGAACATTGATAATTTAACACACTCTAAAGACGCACTATCTTTCTCACGAGAGATTTAAACGAAATAAACAGAAGTGTTTCATTAAGATTTGTTGAAGGCTGGTTTGAACACCTTATATGCATTATATCTCCTAACAGCTTCAATAGATTTTAAAGATTATCAATTACACGAACAGTTTCCTGAGAATTCAGAGAATGTTTTTGTCAACAATATTATATTCGACCGATTCTCACTTCTTCCACTTGAAAGACGGTCCTTTTTTCTTCGTTCTGTACATAAGGCATATGCAATTAATATTGTCCAAACTTCTCTCAAGCTGAATAGTAGTAAAAAAAATTTTCGACGTAGCTTCATTTAGAAGAAAACAGGCGTGCAAAATTTGCATGCTTCAGTGACGAATATTTATTTGATTTACTATATTCAAGAAATTTGATTATAACACAAGTTGTTTGTTGTTAGATTATTCACATCGACACATTTCAGGCACCGACGTTTCGTTTGTATAACGCTCTTGTTTTCTCCTTTTACTTCGATATTTTTTTATATGTACATAACTGTAATTTGAGATATGTTGTTGTGGAAATAATGCAGTGAATATTATACAGATAAGCGCAACAACATTATCAAAACTGGAAATTCCTCGGCGAATTTTGAGTCAATTTCCTATAAACTAGAAATGAATTCAAGATTACAATGTAGAATCATCAAAAAATGATGGTAACCTTTTCCAGTTGTATGTCTAACTCAAAACAAATAAAATTAAAAAAGTTATCAAAATCTTTTGAGTAGAACGCATTTGTAAGCGAAGCATTGCGTAAACCAGTTCTGTACAGTGGCTATGCAAATTACTCATACAAGTAATCTTTCCATGGCAATTATCCCTGTTCCACAGCGCCAAAGATCTAAAATTCAAAACTATGTCATAAATAGAAAGACGCGGAAGAATGGTTAATAATTAATTCAAAGACATGAGCAAATAGAAATCTTAAAAAGATGCATATCTAAATCTGTAGGGATGTTTTTTTCATCTTGAACGATGTGTACTTTCAAACATTAGTTGGACAGGAATAAATGAAATGACTTCTGAGCTCGATTATTGTCGAAATTAATGTTTGCTTTTTTAGTTAACACTAACTTTGTTTTTCTATGAAAAAGAAACACAATATCATTATTAATAAAAATTATAGTACATTGATTTGTCATCTGAATTGCTTCAAGTTGTCAGAAACACTTGCCAAATCATCGATCTGTAGAGTAAAGGAAAAAAGAAGATCAAGAACAGAAAGATACTGATAGATATATAAAAAATGTTGGAAAATATATAATTATCATAATTGCAATTCATTAGAAAAAGAAATTTTTTTATACACATTGTTTCCACACTATTTTAATTTTATATTTCAAACATCTAGAAATCTAGTTCTTCTTTTTCTCTCTGTTATTATACATTAGTAAAATATTAATAGAATTAGTTAAGTATGCATTTTCTTACATTTCTTTTGAATTATCATGTATAGTTTTACATTTTCAATAGCAGAGCAATAAACCAGGTTATGAATATAACAATTTTTTTTCTTTTTTTTTCGTATTTATGCTATTTCTCTTTCATGTCTAATTATCAGTATTAAAACGGGCTATTTTCTTCTCTTCATTCTATGAAGTGATTTTGATGGTGATACTAATGTATGTAATATGTCCATCATTCGAAAGTAGACAATGTAATATATAATGTATGTAAAATGAACTCATTCCTTGACGTATCTGCAATATACATTTTCAGTTTACTACTATTACTCGTATTATTGAACAGGCTTTAAATACTGTATAGCTTGTACTACACAATGTCGACATTACTCATGTTCAATTTTGTTTGGTTGTTTATATTTGCTATTCTGATATTATTTGCATTTATGGGTAATAGTCTCATTATTTTAACAATATTGAAAGATAAATCGATGCATACATCAACCTATTATTACATTATGAACGTTAATATAGCAGATTTAATTTTAATATTAACATGTTTACCGGAACGAATACATGATGCTCTACCACTTGCTGGATTCCATTTAGGAAAAGTAACATGTATGTACAATAGATTAATTGTTTTTCTCTGTTATATAGATACGTATATGTATATTTTAAAAGGTTATTTATTACCATTTCTTCAACAAGTGTCCATGCATGCAGCATTAACATCATTATTAATACTCACCATTCAACGATGTTATCCAGTTGGTGTACCAAAATTTTTTCAAGTATGTTTTTTTTGCTAATAGTTGACATGGCATTTCTTTTCTGAATTAAGGGCCCCCCTCAGAAATTGTGATTTTCTGTCAAAAAATCGATTTTAAGATAAGCACATGGAAAGATAGTCTGAAGTGTCTAATTTCACAATCTGTACCGCTTTTGGTTACAGAATTGAGTTTTCAGGAATTTTGAGCAAGTTGTCTAGGAGTCTCGGATTACCGGGTCTTCAAATAATAGCTTTTTCCTGGATGCTTATGCAATTAAAATTTCTCTGAACACACAGATTTGTAGAGCAAACGTTTCTGATCAAAATAAGACCTTGCACAACTCTCCATGACCTTGTATCAAAAAGTTACAGGCGTTTGCCTAGAAGTCCTAAAATTGAGAATTTTATACAGCGTTTTCTCTATATAAGAGTTACACCTGAAGTGCGTCCTAAGATTTTTAATAGCGGTTTGTCGTCGAGAATTTCATATTTGTTTGTTTAAAAGAGCAAAAGAAACTACATGGACTGAACGGTGCTGATTTCTGAATTAGGTCTTAGTTTTTTGTCAAATTGAGGGTTTTTAGAAAACTCGGAAGAGTTTTTCGGATTTTAGAGGTTGTTGGTTGCTTCGAAAACCAATAAAGATTTAATTGAAAAACCGGCGCCGGTCAGTCCATGTAGTTAGATGTCTAGCCTAAAGCAAAACAAACCCGAACTCTCCAGCTTGAAGTATATTAAAAAATCTTGGGAAATACTTCAAGGTCCTTTTTGGACCTTGATCTCTAGAAAACTTCTAAACCGTAAGACGCGGAGACAAAAAAATTTGTTCACCTCTAAAACAAACTTTAACGAACGGTTAAGTTGAGTTTCGGTTGACTCAAAACAAAAACGTTATAAATATTTTGATGGAGAACAAGCTTAAAGCGAAACTTGTTTTTTTCAAGAAAAGCACAAGAATGTATAGCCAGGAGTGTCTACCAGTACGATGAAAATTCTTCTATATTGTACGAGTTATGTCAGCTGTAGAGCACATTGTTCCTTCTTGAATAAGAAGAGAGAAACGTTATGAAGGGATCAATCATGAGGAAGAGTTTACATTTTTTTATAATACTTCTCTATAGAAGATTTCTCTGGTGCATATGTAATGGACGTAGTGTGAAATTAGCTAATTAAGCGTTACTTATTTTAATTTCCCCAGAATAATTTGGTAAAATGAAATGAAAGAGCATATCACTACCGTCGTAATTATTCAGACTAGTATAGAATTGTTGAGCATTTTACAGCAAATAAAAAAATCCAGCTTTATATTGTATAGAAAATGCATTCGATTTTCTGAAATATCCATTTAAGAAGAGGATAGAAGAATATCTTTATGAATTTTTTATACAGATTTCTAAAAGCCTGATTTTTCATAAATTTGGCCCACTTTCTGGAAAATTATTAATTTTTTAGAAATTTAACGATTTTCTACAAAATGGCATCTTGTTTTTCGTAAATTAAAAAACACCATTTCTTGTAAGAAAAAAACGAAAATAAATAAATTACAGAAATAAAAACAAATTGATCTGCTTCGATCCCTGCTTTCTCGGGAAGAGAAGCCGACATAACTTGAGACGACAGATGCCTTCTATTCTTTTCTGAAAAATAGTCATCTTTGGCGCATCCGACTTAAGCTTTTTATTTAAAGAAATCAAAATGAACAAGAAAAGAAGAGCAATCAACTAAAATTTTCCGCATAAGGACTACATTGTATCTCCCGAGAGGAATCTTTAAACAGAACACAAAAGAACATCATGAAATAAAAATAAAAGAATAAACGTTGGACTTAGAGAAAGACGAAAATAAAATAAAATGAGAGCAATAAAAATAGATGCAGGAAACTGTGTCAATAGGAGAAAAGCACCTGATGTTGGCGTTTTAGAAACGAGGGAGTGGATTAATTAAAGCTATAAAAGTGAAAAAGTGAAGGACGTAGTCTATTAGAAACGTTTACTAGCAGTAATACAATCCTTCACAGACTAATGCACAGATATCAGGAGATTGGGGGGGATAAATGTGTTCTAAGTAGAAGGGTATCAGTATCAAGACTAAGACCTATATTACTCAGCTTGACAGCCAATTGATCGAGCTCGATCGTACTTTGAACATTCCAAGAGATAGTGTTTGGAATTTTCAACAACCTTTATTGATGGAAACAGGGAGAAACAGCTTTCGCAAAAATAATTAGAAACAAGTTTATATTGTTTGAGATGGAAGTTAAGTGCGGAGAAATCCATTCTTAAGCTCATTTCAGCGCATTTTTTTAAAGAATTTTTTACTTTTAGAGATTAGAGGAGAGAAAGAAAGAGAAGAAGAAAGAAAAAAAGTTCCAGTAGGCGAAATAGCACGACATATCGTTCTAATGAGCCCTCACCCATCACCTCTTTAGGATGGCGTTCTATTACGGGGTATCGGCAATTTTAGGTGAAAATCTCGGTATAATTTTTCAATGTGAAAATTTTAAACAAATCAAAGTAGTCGGATAGGATAGAAATACACATCAATTGACTCAGTTTTTTATCTTGACTCCGAATATGATATTTTTATTGGATAAAAGTTTAGAAATACGGACAGAAATCCGACGTTTTCCACGTTTGTGACAAAAAAAGTGATTTTTCTCAAGAATGAAACACAATGTAAAAAAATTAAATGGGTACTGTTAAAGCTCGTGTTTCAGCGGTTCTAATGATGTACGACACTTGTCTTTATCTCTTCGTACAAAAACCTAGATAGATTTGCAAAGTTGCGCACTAGCATATCCTAGTAGAGGCGTTCGTCAGAGTCGTACCGGGCAGACCTTTAACTTCAAAATCAATCAAAGACTACTCTTATACTCAGTTTTTGATGGCGAATCAGAAAAAGCCTTTTGAAAAAGTTTCCGCAACAAAAAGGATAAAAATTTGAATTTTTCTCAAATGAGTGTTTTAATTCAGTTTTTTACACCCTTCGAGTGTTTTAAATTTTTCTCGCTTAAAAAATTGTCCAGAAAATTAAAAAACACATATTCGTGATCAGCACATCAAACTCTATCAAACGATGTATAAATATAAATAAAATAAAATCTACTCCATTTTTGCATTGTTGGCACCTTACAATAACAAAACTACACCCTGTATCTATGAACAGACTACATTTTCAAAACAAAAATTTGCATTTAAAAAAATGTTTAATCATGACAAATTAATTATCTTGTTGAAAAACCAGTTAAAAGTGTTTTGTTTTTTAGTCAATAATCTACTAGACCATCTTAGTCTAAACAACTGTTCGTTTCTGGATTTGGGATTCTGTTAAATTTTTTAAGTCAACTATTATAATGTCTCTTAGAAGGAATATTCGGCCTTAAAGGATTAAACGTCAGAATGAGTGCGATTAGTAAAAGAATGGCTCACCACTTCTGAGAATCGAATCACTGAATTATTTCGTTGACGTATATTACCAATTGTGTTGAGAAAAAAGTTACAGAAAAGCAGTCTTAAGAGCTGTACGTGTTGAGTCAGTTCAAGTTTCCAATACTTGAGCTTTTCTGTAACGAAAAAAAGCGGGTTGTATAAAACAAAATTTATTTTTAAAACGGTCTATAGTTTTGTTATTAATTAGTCAAAGGTTTTCTATGTATTTTTCTCTCTCATTATTTTAAGGGTGATTTTATTCGAAACCAAATTCGCAATTATCAGATAACAATATTCTTAACGTGGTTATTCAATGTATTAGTGAATATTCCTCTAATACCAATCACAAAATATCGAAAATATGATACTTTTGTTCCACCTATGAATTTGACATTACCAAGTTGTGATACAGAAGCCAATCAAATATGGTCAAGAACATATCTAATTCTAATACTTGTGTTAACATATCTAATAACGGGAATATTTCTTATTATTATTTATGGACAAGTTATTCAATTAATGTTAGCATCAAAAAAATTTACAGATAATAAAAATGCGTTATCGTCATGCGCTTTACATCAAGCTGAACAACATCTGCCTGGCTCATCATCATCAACTAATTCAAATCAACGTGATTCAACTAAAGGCTATGTATCAACAATCATAAAACATCATCGAACACGAAAGTATACCTTAATGTTGACATCAACACAGCGAACATCATTAATATCCGCTAATAATTATTCCAATAGTCTTACGAGATTACACACTCAACGTTTACAAGTAATTATTACGTTATTCATAGTTATAGTTTTATACATTATTCTATTATTACCTTATCGTGTATTTAATTTATTATTTATTTTACATAATCAAATATTTGACAATGTCAATGAGCTAGTATTTCAACGATTAATTAATGTTGTTCGATTACTCGTATTTCTCAATTGTGCCTTACAACCAATTACCTATTTAGTGATATCAAGTCGTTTGAGACAATCGGTCATAAAACTATTAAAACTATATTTCAAATGTAAATGCACAGATCATAATCACAATAAGGATAGTGTTGTAGACGTTTGTGTACAACAATATCAACTGCAACCCGATAGACGAAAGCGATTTTATTGTGATCGTTATACCATACCAAGAACCTTTACACAGCAACAACAACGTCTAAGAACAACTTCTTCACAAAAGAAAATGCGAACTAAATGAAAAATGTTCAACAAGCTTAAAGCTTACACTGAAAGATTTGTTCAAATTCAAAATTCTATTTGCCATCGACTATCAGCGACATCGGTTTATGGGTACAGAACCTTCTGTTAGCAGATTCCTGAAAAATCTCTGAAGTGGTGATAACACTGTTATGTTAATTTTATAAAGACTACCGTCAACATCTTTCTTGGGATCATCAAATAGTTGTAGTGATAATATCCGGCACATGAAAATCTCAACTGTAAGTGTTATCTATTATGTCAAATTACCGTTTACGTGTCATGGTAAACAAGTCAAAGACTTTCACAAAAATACACTTCCATTTCGAATTATCTCAGGTGTTTGATACTGATTGACTGCTTGTATTTGTTTGCTTTGTAGTCGTTGCTTTCAAGATAAATCGATTATTTCTGTTGAGTATTGAACGAGACTCATGCATAGTACATCTGACGCTAAATATGAACGGACATTACATACAAAAATTCATGCACCAAATTAAATTCTCCAGCTCTCCACCCATCATGCACGGCTGATAAAACGTCACTACACATACTAGAGTCCAGCAGGGCAAGCATTTTTGCTTCCCCGAGTCCGTCTGTCCCGTAAAAAAATCAGAAACTTTCCTCACCCGTCCAGACCGGTCTGATTTTGTAAATATCTATAATGACACAATATCTAGATGTTCAAATCTTAAGATATTCTGATATTCAAATGTTTAGATCTTCAGATGTTAAGATCTTTAGTTCTTCAGATATCAGACGTACGGACACATAATTTAGCTGTTCACATCTTCAAGTATCTCACTGTTTTCTTTCACGGTTGGGAATACCAGGGAGAAACTCACTCTCATCTTCCGCCCACTCCTCCCTCTCCCTTCCCATTTCTAGAAGAATGCATGTTCTCAATTTATACTGAAAAAAAACCAAGCTTTTCTTTTATCATATTGTTTTCTTCACTTTTGGAGACTTGTTTGAATATCTAAAATAGGGGTGGCACATTACTATTACTGTTACCAGTAATACAAATATTGTATATACTACTGTTACTGGTAACAATAATACTGAACAGTATTCCTATTACCAGTAACAGTAATACTCATAAAATTAGTATTACTTTTCAGTAAAATAATACAAGAAAAATAATAAAAGTTAATTAATAATAATAATTGATAATAATTGATAATAATTAATAATAATTCATAATAAGTAATACAAAGAAAAAAAATTTTTTTCTTGTATTACTTTACTGAAAAGTAATACTAATTTTATGAGTATTACTGTTACTGGTAATAGGAATACTGTTCAGTATTACTGTTACTAGTAATAGGAATACATAGAAGATTACTGTTACCAGTAACAGTAATATTGATAAAATTAGTATTACTTTTCTCGGTAATGCAATACATGAGTAATAGTAATACTGCCACCCCTAATCTAAAAATCTAAAGAACCGAATATCTGATAATTTCCCCCCCCCCCCCCCCCCAAAGAACCATCAATTTTTTCCAACAATCATAATTGTGAAAATCAGATCTTACTGGATCCGTCTCGTTTGTTCCGTAAATTTAAGAAAAAGATGTCGCGGTTGTACAATATAACTTAATGAGAGTCAATATCCTATGTTAGCTCAGTTAGCTAAACAAATACTGTGTACATTACGGTGACAAATATAACCATTGAACGTTTATTTTCGTATAGCGGTAATACAATCACTAATCGTCGAAAACGATTAGAAACTAAACGAACAAATAATTTGATATTTATTCATCGTAATTTATATACATTATGCGGAATTTTGTCGCCCGATGTTAACAATCCAATAAACTTTTTGATATCAACACTTTCCTTTTAACGAAGAAACAAAAAAGATACTTTTTATCACCAAATTTTTTTGCATGCATCTCACATTTTTATTTCGCAACAAAGTATAATGTACAACACAAACGTATTCGTTGAAATATTAACCAAATGAACAATAAACCTCTGCTAATTGTCTTGGGATCCCCTTTTGCTTTTCGTATTGCTAATGGTTGAATACGTGCATTATCACTAACTTGATACATTAAATAGAATTGCTAATCCAACAGAATGTTTACACGAATATACTAATAATGGTACAACAACCCAACAGGATTGTTATCACACCAGAAAACTATATAACCCACCGACGAGAACGATAAATACCTAGCCAATGACACATTCAAAAGTTTTGTGATGTGGCAACAATCCTGTTGACTTGTGGTACCATCATTAGTAAATATTCGTTCGTGTAAATATTCTGTTGGATTAGCAATTTTATTTAACTTGTATCAAGTTAGTGATAATGCACGTATTCAACTATTAGCGAAACGAAAAGCAAACGGGAAAGTTTCCCAAGAAAGTTAGCACAGCTTTAAATTTTTTAAATAGATATTAATAAAACTATGAAAATATTGTTCATTTGGTTAAAATCTCAATGAATATGTTTGTGTTGTACATTATACTTTGTTGAGAAATAAAAATGTGAGATGCATGCTGCAAAATTT